AGATAACATTTATATAATGTTCTTTCACATAGTGGGTTCAGAAAGAGAATAAGGGAGAAAGAACAGATGGAGAGAGTGGGTTAGGGGGTGGGGGTAGAGAAAGAAGAAAAAGAATCAGGTGTCTTACTCAATCTAGAACCGCCCACAGTCTTGGATTTGAAACAATTACCAAGGTGCAATCCTAATTAACGGAAAGTAAACGTTTTCCCATCTTTCGTCTCCCCACCCCCTCTCCGGATAACTAAAATTTCAAAGTGCATGTATCTCAATCTACGCACACAAAACAATGACATATAGATTGGGAGAAAAAGACAGGAATAAATCAATCACACTGTAGATTTTTTTCCCACTTCACTTCTCTGACCCAGTGGCTGAGCCCTTGGGCCTGTCGAATGGCAAAAAATTGATAGGTTTAAAAAAAAACCCAACCCAACAACAATGTTGTAGATAACACAAGCCGCTTAGCAGAAAAAAAGCTAAGACAAGATTATATGAAAGAAAAGAAAAATAAAGGGAAATGTCTACGCTTGCAATCTGAAGAGCCTTCGAGATCCATGTGTGAGAGTCAGTTTCTGGAAAGTATGTTTTATACATACATGTATTTATACATTTTATTTCCTCTGGCCTTACGTGCAAAAATCTCATGTCTCGCAACTTTCATTAATTAATAGTCCTGCATCATAATTACATATGGACTAGAGAAACTGCTGCTGTTTGGAAAAATAGAGGGAAAGAAGAGCAGAGGTTGACAAAAAACAGCATACACAAATGGCCTAAAAAAACCTTTACAATGAATAATTCAAAGAGAAAAACCGAGCTGATCAAGAAGACACACCCCAAGAAGGAAAGGGGTACCTCGATCGTCAATGTCTGCTCCAGACTTGACACCTGAAGAAGCAGAAGAAATTTACTTATCAGGAACGAGAGTACTGGCAAGCTTTTTCGAGATGTGCTGCCCAGCCCCAAGCATACAAGGACATGTACTTTGTGCATATTGTCACATGAGGCGACTACATGTACAGACCTCAACATAAGTTAAGGACCACCATGACCGACAGCCCTGATTTGTTAAAATCCGAAAAAAAAGACAGCAAGGAATTTGTTTCAAAATCTTTTGCTCTGCGAGTGTTAATTGGTTATTAACAATGCGTACTGTAAAGCTTCCTAAAGGGACAAAACCACCACGTGCAGCATTGAAACCATCAGGGAATTTTAGCCAAATTTGCAAGTGGTCCTTAACTTAAGTTGAAGTCTGTATATATAGATCTTTATAATTTATTTGTCAGTATCTTCTTCTGATCCTCTGCTTCTTGTTGCTGTTACGCCTCGTCATTTTCTTGTCTCACCCACTTTCCTCTTTCTCCTTTTCTGTCTGTGTGTCTGTGTGTCTGTGTGTCGGTGTGTCTGTGTGTCTGTCTGTGTGTCT